AGCACTTTTGCAAAAGACCAACACACACATACCACCCCACCTATACAATCACACACACCCACAGCCACACACACACTCTTGATGGCTTCATAAGTTCATACTTGTTACCTGTGACTTGTCAAGTATTTGACTTTATCTCTGGACCTGGACCCGAGCTCCAGATTCCGTTCCGTCGAGTTCAGTTCGGTTGAGTTGAGTTGAGTTGAGAGTTTGGCTTTTGGGTTCTTGGGTTTAAGTTTTTGGCCAAGTTTTATGCTGCGATTTGAGTTTCAACGAGACCTCGTTGCTGTTTTTTTAGTAATTTTATTCACTTTCCGTCTGTTCTATTAAGTTAATATTGTTTAATAATTTCTCCTTAATTTGTATACCCCCACTTTTACAGAAATAAGCCACCTGTTTTCAGTGCATCATAACTTTGGCAAATATAGAGAGATTATAGAAAGTCATTCCTTTTGCCACTAGCTTAACTCGGTACCACACTTTTTTTTATATTCACAGGATGTCATAATGATATAGAACAAAACTCGAACCAAAAGTAAGCACTGAATTTTTATTTATTTTTAATTTATGTTGCTAATAAACTTTAAACATTTATGGTAAACTCCTTCGCCTTCTCTTTTCTTTTTACTTAAAACTTTATCCCCTGAATATTTCCATTGGATGACATATCCCGAATACATTTTTCAAAGAGACTTAACAGTAAGAGAAAAGAATCCTCTGCAAATATTTAGTGAAAGTAAACCTCCATATTTGGTTGAAATTATTTTTGATTCGGGCCTTGACATTCCATTTGCCAGCTGCTCTGGCATTTTTTACTCTCGACTTTAACTACCTGGAAATACCTGGCCAACGAACTTCAGTCGAATTCTTGGGCGCTTAAAGCGCCTGGCAACTTTTCCGTAAGTTTTTCGCATTTTCATGGCAGTCAATTTGCTAAATCAAGAATGCGACAGCCGCACAAAGGGAAGGGGGCGGGAAAATAAATATGCCAGCCTTCAGCTTTCCGCTTTCCTCGGGTGTTGGACGCCAAAAGGAACCCGATGCGCCCTGAATTTCCCCAACTGCTCCGTTTTTCCTTCTTTTTTATGTATTTCACTTATTGATGAGTGAAAATGCTGTTGACATTATTTGTGTGGTCGCCGCCAGTTGGTCGCCCAATGCAATGCAAATTTGTTGACACAAACTCAAGCTGAGACCACACAGCCTGCACTTTCAGGGGATATAACGTATATCCCCCATCCGCATAAATAAATATATATATATATATATATATATATGTATTTAGTGTATATGGAAGCTCATCGCCGATCCCCTTGCCAATCGTTTTGCCCCTGAGAATCAAAGTCTCGATTCTCGTAAAAATGATTCATGATATCGCATTATTTCCGTATCATTTGTAATTTCCAGTTTCCTGCTTATTTTCACCAGCCACACACACAGACAGGGCCAAAAAGAGAGGGCAATAGGGTGCGGTGGGAAAGAGAGGGAAGGCAGAACCAGAACTGTTGCAATTACTATCTATCTGGTATTTTATAACTTTTGTGCTCTTCCTTCTCCAGACTCCTTCTTCTTCTTCATCTTCTTCTGCTGATTACAGCAGCCAAGTTACAGACACACAGATAGAAACACACACACACAGATACAGATACGCAGACACACAGATACTTTCAGGGGCGAAGTGAGAAAATTAAACAAAAGGGGGACATATATAATTTATTTTCAGGAATATTTAGACCTTACTGGATAAAAATGTAAAACAGTTTAAAATAATGTTAGGTAAATTTTTGTTATTTTAGAAAGGGATAACTTGATAAAATACAATATAGTTTTAATCAAATCTTTATAAGATATTATATGTTTATAATATATATTTATTTTTATTTTATTTATAATTTATTTATATATGTTTTTGGGATTATCAAAATAACTTAAATCCCTCTCAGATGCGCCCCTGTTCGCATTTAGAGACGAAGTCAGAGAGCCACAGTTACAGGCGTTGCCGTCGTCGTCATCAAGGTCCTGGTTCGCCCCGTCGCCTCCCCCCCAAATCTTTGCCATTCCTTTTTTTTCCCCACCGCCTTTGTCCTTATCCGTATCCTTTGTTCACAGGCACAAATACAGAAGCAGATACAGATACTACTGTGTGTGGCTGCTCAACACTTTTTCTTGTAGTTTTTGATGAACATTTAATTGAATTCTCCCACTGCACTGCGCTTTGTCTTTCGCCCACACACATTGACGTATCTGGTAGCCGATATACATATAGAAATAGGACATATAGACAGACCTATCTGCACCTCCATTACAGCGGATATATCCCACGGAGCGCACAAGAAGTTATGCTTTCACTGCTTTCTTCGCCTAGCCTTTCGCTTTCCCCCCTTTCACTGGCTGTGTGTGTGGCATCTAATTAAAATTGCAATCGGAATTTTCCAGCTCGAGCGGCGACAAAAAGGAAATTTATCCATAAGCCAGCGGCAAGCTACTTGCAGACACAGATACTGAATGCTGGATACTGGAGACAACTTATCGGATGTCCATGGCACAAAAAGAAACTCTGGTTTTTGCGGTGATTTTAGGGCGATTCATTCGAAACAGTTTATCAAAGGTTTTAGCCCGGGGATTAATTGTGTCTTTGTAAACGGAAAAGGTAAGACTAAAACCATTTAGTACACTTTTTGTACCCTTTGCAGAGGGTAATATAATTTCACTCAAAACTTGCCACTCAGTGAAGAGCTGCACTCCTAAGCCCACAACTTTTCTTAAAAACATCAGATTTTAAAGTGGCATACTTCAAAGTGATCGTGGTTTGATTCCCTAAAAATCTGTGTTTTTAGTTTACTTTTTTTTTTTTGGTCGATTTTTCACCATTTTTAATGATGTAACCCCTTTTTCATGTAACCCCAAATTTTCAACAAATGGCTCTGCAGAAAAGTGTCCAAAAACTGCACTTCTAGGCTCATAACTTTTCTTACAGATATCCGATTTCAAAGCGGCATACCTCAAAATGATTGTGGTTTAATTCGCTAAAACATTTTTTTTGTTGGGTCGATTTGTCGTAATTTGCAATAATATTGATTAAATTTGATGTCACAATTCCAAACACTTTTTCAATTGCAAGTTAAAAGTAATTCTTTAACTGGAAAATTTAAGAAGATGCATAGATATTTCAAAGTACACTAAAGAATCGATAAGTGGTTAATGTCCCACTTGCAGCTACTTTCTCGATTTCTCTCGGGCTAATTGAGCCAGTTCCACAGTGGCTGCAACTATGCAAATAACCCCAGTTGCCCTCTCGTCGTCTCAATGGAGGTCCTGCCACCAGGACTTCCCCTTTCTGGGGGATGAAAAGGGGGGAGTCCCCGGCCAGGACATCAACGCCAACAAAAACAAAAATAACAAGAAAGGAAAGCTAACTTCGGGCGGAGCCGAAGTTGAAATACCCTTGCAGAATATTCTGCAAATTATATTCTCCAAAATCATTCATAATGCATTCTTAATACTCATAAAAAATCCCAACTTCCTAACTTTAAAAGCACCAAAGTTATATCATTTCCAATCGTTCAGTTATATGGCAGCTATAGAATATAGTCGGCCGATCCTTATGAAATTTGATATGTCGGATTGATTAGGCAAAAATAAAACCCATAGAAAATCCCAACTTCCTAACTTAACAAACACCAAAGTTATGGCATTTCCGATCAATCAGTTATATGGCAGCTATAAGATATAGTCGGCCGATCCTTATGAAATTTGGTAGGTCGGATTAATTGGCCAAATATAAAACCCATAGAAAATCCCAACTTCCTAACTTTACAAACACCAAAGTTATGGCATTTCCGATCAATCAGTTATATGGCAGCTATAAGATATAGTCGGCCGATCCTTATGAAATTTGGTACGTCGGATTGATTGGCTAAATATAAAACCCATAGAAAGTCCCAACTTCCTAACTTAACAAACAGCAGAGTTATGGCATTTCCGATCAATCAGTTATATGGCAGCTATAGGATATAGTCGGCCGATCCCGGCCGTTCCGACTTATATACTGCGTGCAAAGGAAAGAAGGGTGTGTGCAAAGTTTCAATTCGATATCTTTAAAACTGAGAGACTAGTTCGCGTAGAAACAGACAGACGGACAGACAGACGGACAGACGGACAGACGGACAGACGGACAGACGGACAGACGGACAGACGGACAGACGGACATGGCTATATCAACTCAGGAGGTGATCCTGATCAAGAATATATATACTTTATAGGGTCGGAGATGTCTCCTTCACTGCGTTGCACACTTTTGACCAAAATTATAATACCCTCTGCAAGGGTATAAAAAGAGAAAGAGAAACAAAAACAAAAGCAAAACAACGACCCTGACGACGGCAATATCAAACAGTAAATAGATAAAAACAACATGACTTAATGAGTGGTATTTATTTTTATGCTAATTACTTTCGAATAAGCAGGAGTTCTCTGGGGGGTGGGGAGTGGCGGGGGGTGGCGGTGCAGCTTGCCTTAACGAGTGGGGCAATAATTGTTGCAGAATCCTGCAGCGGGACTCCTTGAGGCTGTGCTCGCTCGGCAATGTTTGCATAAAGTAAATGCCATTATACAAGCAAGTTGCGCTGTAAATTCACTTCAAATGTACGAAAGCACTCGCCCTGAAAGCCGTAAAGTATGCGATATGACAGCGCATAAAGGATGCGAGGATGGGGGATCCTTAACCAAGGTCCTTTATCAGATTGTCACCACCCCACTGCCGCCCTTGCATTCTTTTTCTCTCTCCTTTTTCTGTATTTATGTTTTAGAACCCCGTTTTGTTTCTTTACATAAAACACATTTAACTTTTAGAACCCCTTCTTATTTATTAATATATGTATAACACATTTAGCATGGATAATTTTTTTTCAAGTAAAATATATTTTTTTTGTTTAGTATTAGAACAAACTAATCAATTTTTTAAACATAAAATTTTTTTTTACATTTTTTAGCTAAAACATTAAATGGTTTTGTATTTAAGATGGCTCTTCCAATCGCTCTTTCAGGATCATTTCGAGATGGAGACCGCGCTTCGCTCCACTCAACTGCTCAATTTCCCCTTGGGTGAGCCACAAGGAATTGCGGGAATGGGGCAGCTGTTTGCCATCGAGTTCGGGACGAGCTCTGCCGGAATTGGTCACCAATCGGAGGACACTCCGACCCTCCGACATGGTGCGATCGTGGACGGTGATGGAGGCGTAGAGGGGTCGGGTACTGGGAACACTCTGCGTCCAAATGAGGTACATTTCCAGGTTTCCTGGGTCAATGGTCTCCTTTGGACCTTGTCTCTTTTGATCTTTTGAGGCATGACTTTTGTAATCCGTTCTTTTGCTGTGTATGAGGTCCTGGTTGTGAGTTTCTCCCATGCTTTTTGGCCACGCCTCAGCTCTGAAGTCCAGGCGTTCCACCCTCCTGGGAAGGCACTTTCCTGTGTGAGGACTCCTGAAATGCAGGTATTCCTCCGTTCTAGGGTTTCCGTAGTCGTGTCTTCGCTGATTAGGGAACTCCTCCTCCTCCTCCTTCGATTTCATATCCCTATCCTGCGATAGCCACTCGAAGAAGGCACACTTCCGCACCAGAACCAAAACGGGCTGATGATCCGCCACCGTTTGCAATCCCGAATCCGGCGGGACACGATTTCGATGACAGAGTTCCTGTTCGCCGGGTAATTTGCCCACTTCGCCACGTTTGCCTCCGAAAAGCAGGACGCCCAAGCAAATGGTGTGGCGCGGAGTCAGTCGCTGGGGATCGAAGACCAGGGTGCAGCGCTCTCCCTCGAAAGCCAGGTGAAAATGATCGTTAGCAGAGGCCGGGGTCAAGTGCTGTTCCTTCAGGTGGACGAGCAGGTCCAGCGAGGAGATGGTGGCCAGACAATTACCCAGAGGACATTGCAAAGGAGCTCGAGTCAGGTGACCCAAAACAAGTTTGGGTTGAGTCTTGGCATCGGACTCGGAGTTTTCATAACGCCTAATTAGCTTTAAGGCCATGTTTCCAAAGCTGTGTTTACTTCTTACAATAAACATATGTGTTCACTATACAACTCATTACATTTTCACACGCCTACTGTTTTGCAATGAATGAAAGTAATAAAGTTATCATTGCCCTCTGAAATGGACAAACACTGTGCGCCGCAAAATGAACTTATTTCATCATATGGATAAATTCGATTTTTGTTTTGTAATGAATTAATGCTTCTTGTAATTTAATCATATGCTCTTTTGGTCACTTGATTGTATTTATTTATTTTGTAATTTAAATAACATTATTAACCTTTGGTGTATTTCATTTACATGCTTTTTATACCCTTGCAGAGGGTATAATAATTTCAGTCAAAAGTTTGCAACGCAGTGAAGGAGACATATCCGACCCTATAAAGTATATATATTCTTGATCAGCATCACCAGGAGAGTCGATCTAGCCATGTCCGTCTGTCCGTCTGTCCGTCTGTCCGTCCGTCTGTCCGTCTGTCCGTCTGTCCGTCCGTTTCTACGCAAACTAGTCCCTCAGTTTTAAAGCTATCTGCTTGAAACTTTCCCAAAAGTTGTCTTTCTATTGCAGGTAGTATATAAGTCGGAACGAGCCGGATCGGGCCACTATATCATATAGCTGCCATATAACTGAACGATCGGAAATGCCATTACTTTGGTGTTTTTAAAGTTAGGAAGTTGGGATTTTCTATGAGTTTTATTTTTGGCCAATAAATCCGACCTACCAAATTTCATAAGGATCGGCCGACTATATCTTATAGCTGCCATATAGCTGAACGATTGCAAATGACATAACTTTGGTGTTTTTAAAGTTAGGAAGTAGGGACTTTTTATGAGTATTAAGAATGCATCATATGAATAATTTTGGAGAATTTAATTTATAGAATATTCTGCAAGGGTATATCAACTTCGGCTCCGCCCGAAGTTAGCTTTCCTTTCTTGTTAAACATTAATTAATTAGTTACTCTTGGGTTGAATTATTTAATTAGCATATGATGTTTAAGTGATTAACTATGATTTCTTTATGATTTTTTGCGAGAATTGATCAAAAATAAAAATTTTCAGCTGAGAGTGCCAATCGATTGGAAATTTTATAACGAAGTTAACGAGGTATGACATTTCACTATCTGACCAATATTTCCCGGGGTTTTGATCAAAAAACTAAATTGGATTTTTCGAGGTTTTGGCCTTTCTCTTCGAACTTGGCCAAAGAATGATTGCTTTGTGCAGCTGAGGAGCTAAACTATTGATTTGGTTTATGAACATTTATATTTTGATATTTTGTTTTTAAGTGTTAATTAGCTAAGTAACTTAGGTCCATCCGTCTGAATCACTAAGTGTAATACGATAACCTAGGTAACATTTTCTAAGTAAAATACGTTAAAGCTGCATTTTTTTGTCGGCATTCCATTCAGAAATAAAAATAAATCAGAGCTGATTCTTGCGCTTCCGACCGGGTCGCACGGCATACAGGTCGTCGGAGATGAGTCTGCCTGCTCGGGATGCGGCCAGGAGGCGCCTCTCGTGCACCTTGCGGTGCTTGGTGAGGTGATCCGACCGGGCGAAGCACTTGGCGCAGTAGTCGCACTTGTAGGGCTTCACCCCGGAATGGGAGCGCTTGTGCCGGGCCAGCTCATCGGAGCGGGAGAAGCGCCAGACGCAGTCGGGCCAACTGCAGACGTAGGGCTTCTCGCCCAGGTGCCTCCTCAGATGGGCCTTCAAATGGGCGGGCTTGGCATAGATCTTGTCGCAGTTGCCGAAGGTGCACAGGTAGCCCCTCTCGCCGGCGGCGTTCTCGCTCATCTGGAGGGCAGGAGTGGCAGAAGTGGCAGCAGGAGGAGGATTAGGACTGTCTGGATCAAGGACCTCCGGTGGTGGTCCGGCCAACCGGAGATTACTGTTACTCTCCTCCAGGAAATCCGCACAGTTGTCCGTGCACAAAGGCGTTCGCTCCGGCAGAAAGTCCACCAGCTCGGGAATCTCCACGAAGTTATCTAGTAGACGCTGCTCCCAGTCACTCAAGTCCGGCGGACAGGCGGTCAAATCGTTGAAGTCAATGAACAGCGAGGGATCTGCCTCCTGGACGGGGCCACCATTGTTGTTGCTGTCCAGCGTGATGATGCCGTAGTAGTCCGATTCCTCCAGGTGGCCACAGTCGAACGACTCCTCCGCATAGGAGCCCCCAAAGTCCACCAGAGTGGACGTGTTCAGGAGGGCATCGCCGCCGGCCAGTGGCTCCTCGTCCAGATCGCTGTACAGCTGCTGGAACCCGCCCGTCGCAAAGAAGTCCATGATCGCAAATGAGCGGTCTCCGGCCGAGTGTCCAAATATTTATAATATTTATAATATATCCAGGGACCACACTCCGGCTGAGTGACGGACGTCGGAAAAATTGATGAGAGCTATCGGATCTACGCAGCAATCGCAGGGCTTTCAACTCACAGATGCCCTATTTTCTTGTACTTCATTTCACTTGCTTGAGGCCCAGACAACTGCGATTTCAAAAATTTCGAACTAAAATATTACACAAATAATTAACAAAAAAGCGTTAACAAATGAAGGTAGTTTTTATAAATGTATTTTAAAGATAAAGGGTTTTTAATTAAATTTGATTAGAGAATAATAACACAAGTAAACGAATAAACATCATTCCCTCCGCTATCTGAAAAACACTGGGTAGTGTTTTCACTTCCACTGATCCGTGATCCCAGGATCCCTGGGGAATAATTAACTGGCGAACGTATCTAATGCGCTGCCGGCTTTATTTGTCCGCTCCGCCAGAGATTTATAATATATACTAGTATGTGTCCGACTCCGCCAGATGTTTGCCATTGACGGCGACACATGCGCGGTTTTTGGTGGCCGGCTTCGGGTATTGAAATGGAAATGGGAATTGGAATGGGTATGGGAATCGGCTCGGCTTGGTATTGTGGTTATCAGGGTATCGGGGTTCCGAGTGCCAAGCGGTGTCAGGCCGATCTCTGAACATAATCTAGAGCCACCTGATCGCTCTCTGTGTCTATTTGCCACGCCACGCCATCCCATTCTTCTGTTTTTGTTTTGCTCGCCGGACTATAAACACAAATTTGTTGTTAATTAATGACCATTACTGGCGAGCTAGATATGCCCGGGGGATAGGATGCAAATGGATATGGATATCGATATGGATATTCCCGGTCGATCACAACAACTGCGTGTATGTGTGTCAAGTGAGACGCCGAGATATGGCTTTGGATTCACGGAAACGTATCTATCTGCAAGTGTGTCTCTGTTTTTTGGCTTGGCAACGGTCCATTTGCAGCATATGGACATCTCTGAAAGGCAGATAGTGCTTTTGGGGATTTTTTCAGATGACGTTCTAACAATTTCGATTAAATTAGTTAGGCTGGCAAATGTGGGAAATGTATAAATAAATAAAAACACTATTGATAAGGGCCATTTATGATTCTTAATTTGATTTTTGCAACATTACAGTTTGCCGAAACTTAATTATTTGTAATATATATTCTTAATAAATAAATATCTTTAAAAATCACTAAGACATTGTGTTAGTTTGCAGTATACTCTGTAATAGATATCTCCATATATTCCCTTTTATTTACCCCGCTTTCGCTCTTAACATCTTTATTTCCTTGGCTGTCTGTTTTGCTCTTGCTCCGCGCCTCCTGCTCCTTGTCTACGCCATTTCCGCATCCTTTTTGGCTGGCAGCCTTTTGGAAAATTAACATAAATTTAACGTGCGTCTGGCGTTTAAATTTACTTTCGCCTAATGAAATAATCAGCAGCTGTAAATCCTTATGGGCAGTAATACCCCATCCACTTTCGCCAGTTTTGGCGGCCTACGCGTTTTACGCTAATTGATATTGCAAAAATCAAAGGCTGCGCGCGGGCATTAAAAGGATTTAAGGGATATCAAGTGGTCTGGGGTTTGGCATTCAGGATTCGGGATTCGGGACTCGGTATTCGGGATTCTGGATTGTGGGATCTGGCTGTGACTTCGACTCTGGCAATTTGTAATTACGAGTATTGCGACTCTGATTTCTCTACATATTTCCATTTGTGTGGCATGAGTGGCGTGGTAAGGATAACATAAATTAGTATGCAGCCTGCAGGCATCTCTGCTATTTTGCCATAGCTACTAGTTCACTTACTTACAGATCCATAAGCAAATATAAACATGCACTGGAATATACGGCACTCTCCTATCTATAAATTATAAAAAACAAACGAAATCTTACTTTAAGAGAATAATGCCTAAAAGCTATGAATAAATTGGATTTTAATTAGGGATTTTAATCAATTGCACTTTTAATCCCTAGATAGTCCCCTAATGTTTTTATTCGCTTTTAAAAAATCCATAACTTAAGCATTTTCTGGCAGTGTAGAGGAATGTGTAACCACATCTATCTATGCATCAGACTGCAAATACATTTCTCTCTTCAAATGTGTGTGTGTTCGGACCGCAAGTGTCATAACGGAAATTATGCATACAATTTTACTGTAAATTGCACTTGGCAAAATGTTGTCACCTCAGTTTAGTTTAACCTCCATAGCCACCCAAAACTCCATTCACTTAAACTGGACATTCTGAAGCCGGTTGCAAAGTATTTACGTGGCAAATCCGAAGATTAAAGCCAAAAATCGGACAAAAGATACTGCACAATTGTTGTCCTGGCAGCAGTCAAATGAGCTAAGCGGTTGTCAGGATAAATTCGGGGGATATAGAAGGGGGTATGGAAGGGGATATAGAAGGTCGCTCCGGTTGCCTAGTTAGTCCGACTTGCCCTTATCAATCGCAGCTGAGCTGCTTGTTTTCATTGGATTAGACAAGTTTGTTTTGCCTTCGAGTTGCGAGTTCGAGTTCGAGCTCTCCTCCGAATATAGAAGAGCTTACTGCTGTGGCAAATTAAATCGGTATCTGCAACTGTGTCTAAAACTTGTATCTTGTATCTTGTATCTGGACTCGAGTTTGTGTGCCGTGATTATGGGCATTTATTGCTGCCACTCAGCATGCGAATTCCTGTGCGTACCACATGTCAAATTTATTATCCCTCTGTTTACTATCGATTTCAGTATAACAAAGTTTTATTTATTTCTTCAAGAAAAGCGGATTAAAGTAAAGTGACCTAGTTACTAATTGCATCACTTCTGCTCGCAAAAATATTTTAGTTCACAATTTTACTGTGATTTCGGACGAGTTGATTAGCTTCATTGGGCACAAAAAGAAACTCATGCTTAAATTGAATGGTAATTGGAAGGACAAGCTTAATAAAAAAGTTGCTCTGCTACTAACAGGAATTTAATTTCGCTTATATAGAAATTTTGCAGACTGAATATTTGTTTGAAATAAGAGTTATAACTAAATTTAAAGCCAGTAAAGTTAAAATAAAGTTCGTTTTTAAATGTTTAAAAACTAGAAAATTATGTAATGATTTAAATGGTTCAAAAATTAATGGAAGTTTGTTATTTTAGAGCTCCTTTCAGAAGGAGTCAACAAAATTCCCACGATTTAATTGATGGAAATTATAGCGCCGGTGGCCCAGGTTCCAGCTTTGTCCTGCTCCGCTTGGCATTCCCAATTAATTACACAATTTAGCCGGGCGCTGCAAACTTGGCCGCCAACTTCCTGCAAGGACGAAGAGTGGGTGGAGGTCCTGGAGGAGATGCAGTGCCTCAAAGTCAGTTTGCAACAGGTCAAAAGTTTACTGCCAGCCGGCCGAGAAGTCGAGTCCAAGTTTCGATATTTTGGTCGGTGGAAAGTTTTAATAAACTCGCCAGAGACAATGTTTTATGAGTGTTAGTGTGTGTGTGTGGTTGTGTGTGTGTAGAGTTAACCGAAGGGCGAGACCAGGACAATAATTTGATTTTGAGGGCAGCGGCTGCCTGAAAGCAATTTGTTATGTCCACAGGAAAAACAATTTCTGCGAAGGTGGAAAAGGCGGACTCATATGAGACGCAGTAGCTCCACCATCGAGATTAAGTCAGATGCAAACGTAATCCAAAGACAAGTGAGTTAACTGGTTTGACTGGTTTGACCCAATTTAATTAGACACCCGGCCCGAGGTGGCATTAGTATTAGTGTTGTGTACTACAACAACTAGTATTTGTCTTGTCCTCGCCACCAAAATTGAGCTATGCAGGATATATGCCAAAAGCGAAGCTAATGCCGATGCCAGGACATCGTTGCCTCTGACTCAAAGTCCACACGCAGAAAAAATCTATTTAACTGAGATTGCAACAAAATTGGATTAACACAATGTTCTAGTACATAACCCAGAAATTTACTGGCATTGTCAATGTATCAAAAATAAAGGAATCTGAATCTGATAAGATAGTAGTAGATGTTTGGCAAATCTTTTATAGAGGTGTTCGAACCTAGAGATTTGTGTGGTGGGCCATTTCATTTTGGTTATAACAAAGTGAGGCTATTAAGGAACGGCAGCTTGAGATTTTCCCTTAGTGTACGTACTAGTAAGCCGGATTAACACACCAGGCTGTGGATTGCGGTGGGGTGTGGGGTGTGGGGGGATGGTGACTAGGACAGGCGGTATTAGAGGGGCCTGACACCGGAATACATCCACGAGAACACACGACATTATTGTAGCAAAAGACAGCAGCCGAGCGGCTGAGCAGGAGCCAACAATTAGTGTTGACAGACATTGCACTCTGCCAAAGTCCCCGGGGGAATTTGAAGGCTTGTTCTACACACACGCACTGCTGTCACTGTGTCCGTGTGTGTGCCCTGGTGTGGGTGTGCACACACACACGCAAAATCCATGTACTCGCATATAATTTGAGTTTTCTCCGTGTCGTGTCAAACTGCTGGGAAATTTATGTTTAGTGCAAAGTGCCTACAGATTGCCACACAGCAAACGGGTTTTTCCCTAATAGCCCAACTCGATGTAGGTTCGGCTTGTATAACAGTCGTATAACAGGTATTACACTTAGTACGACAGCTGCCAGTGACGGAGGTGGAAAATGGCAAGTGAAAAACCAGTTCAATTACTTTTTCGTTGTGTTTTTGAACCATTAAATTATCATAGGGCAGTTCAGCATTTCTTTCTAAATGTCGGCCAAAGGTTGGAATGTCATACCTCGTTGAATTCGTTATAAAATTTCCAATTGATTGGCATTCAATGTTGCAAATGTTTGATTTTGTTAAATTTTGGCAAAAAAAAAGTAATCTAACTCCTTTTAAAAAATTTTAAAATAGGCCAAGAAGTACATTTTTTATTATCTAGGTTCTTAGCTTAACAAAAGTGTCAGACCTTTCTCTGTGCACCTATTTTTGG